TTTTTTTTTTTGGCCAAACACTGATGACAACTTTTAAACATAAATTTTTTTTTTCCTCCCCATTTATCTGCCACTTTCCTTTTTTTTCTATTTTTTTTTCTATTAAATTCAATAAGTGCAAAAAAAAAATTTAAACAAATATTTTCATACAGGCATTAGCATAAATGTGCTATAAATAATCAGTAAAATTAAAGAAATTTGGGAACGAAAAGAGAAAAACAATAAAGAATTTGGCGTTTGCAAAAAAAAAGCCATAGTCAAATGTCGTCAAAGGAGTGGAAAAAAAAAAAGAGGAAAAAAGAAGCAAAAAAAAAGGGAAATACTAATGGAGAAGAAATATCGTTTCTGCACCCATATTTTTAACCCTACCCCATTTGAAGTCGTTGTTTTACGCGACTAAAGGAAGATACGAACAGTGGTGGTTTCTGATTGCCATCTTCGATAATTTGCTGTCCCATAACACATAGGTACACAGTACACAGACACCAACACCGACACGCAGACACACACACACACGTAGCAGTCAGACACAGACAAATGCGCAACAACATCGACGCATATGCACACACACACACACACACACAGAGATACAAACTGAAGCCTTTCCATGTTCAGTATCTTATTTGTTTTCATGTATCAGTCTAACAAAAAAGAAAAGAGTATTATCTTCAGAAATTGTCCTCAAAAATATGCCTTTATTTTGTCATTTATTTGAAAATCCATTTAGGCACTGCAAAACAAATTGTTGTGTAAAGTTAATGACGACAATAGGTGACAGTGACGGCGGATAATGAATAGAAGTAAAAATCAAAAAAAAAAGCTTTTTTTTTTTTGCTTTTATTGTTTGCACAACGAAAATGCAGTAAATAAGACGGTCATTTTTTTATGCCTATACATTTATTTAATGGTGTTTTGGCAGCAATTGATAGCCAACTAAATTACTGACTACTACATCAAAAAAGCCAGTCTGCTTTAAGTAATATTAAATCTAAGTTTTCTACAATGTAAAAAAAAAAAAAAAATTCTGCTTTATTACACTTTAACTTCTTCTTTCCCATCTTTTCTCTAATGAGTCTTTTTTTTTTTTTTTCCTTTCGCCTGTCTAAAATTTATATTCCAAATTTTGCTGTCTAAATTCTCCCTGAACACTCAGTTTTAATATCTCTTAAAAAATAAACATAATTATAAGTGTAAATAGAAAAGTAACTGTAAATAGAGGTTTAAATATTAACATTAACAGAAAGAGTTGAGCATATAATAATTTATGAATTTAAATTTCAATAAGTCAACTTTTAGTTGCACTCCTTTGATGATACATAAAATAGGCGGGGGGAAGAAATGGAAAGGTTGAAAAAGCAGAGCGGGCAAATAGGTTTGAAAGGCGTCAACTGATCATAATTCAATTAAAAAAAATCTAAAAATAGCAATATTTTCTATAACTTTACAATATTTGAAAAGAAAAAGCATTGTAAAAAAAAAAAGTAGCATTTAATAACAGTAGCTGGTGATCAGAAACCATAAATTTTTTTGGTTTAAAACCGACTGCTGTTTTTCTTTTTTTTTTTTTTCTTCTAGAAATTACTATCTTTTACTGTACAGAAGTTGATTAGACATAAAGAAACCACCGACCAGCGAAAAGCCCAAACACAAAGGATTGCAGATAGGACTGCAGAAGAAAACAGTGAAACCGGTAATCTGAATTCATCAACGCTTTTCTGTCGGCGCCCAATCAACGGTTTCATTTTTTCTAAATACAACGGTGGTCGTCACCATCATCAAGATGTACCGCTCTTCAAAAGTTACGTGTAACCTAAGCCCAGTAATCAGATGTGACACAATTTGGCGTAGAAAATTTATATTTGGTATATATTGCTGTGTTACTGTTGCATCTTCAAATTTCAGTGGCTCATTTGGCCAAAAAATTTAGTTGAAGAAATTTTTTTGGATGTAAAAT